GTGAACTCCATAGCTTGGGGAAAGGGTTGTAAAAAGCACATTTTCAAAAGGGAAGCCCACTACATTAACTTGCTCACTTCTTATACAGACAACGTTGTGACCCATTGGTCCCAGTCAAGAAGAGTGTACTACATACAGGTCAAGATGTGATCCTTCTTGAAGCCTAAGTTATCAAGCCTACCCTTCCCCTAAATCACAACACAGCTGGATGCTTTGGTTAGTCTCCTATTGCTAGACTCAACCTGTGTAGAACATTTATTCAATGGGATCTATCTAAATCCTCATTTACCATTTAACATTTAATTCAAACCAGCCCTTGTGACCAAATGCTAAAGAAGTGCTAAGAAAAAGGAGTGGGAAATGAGGCTTGGAACTGTTTCTCATCAAGATCTACAGTTATCTAATAATAGAGTTTAAAAAAACAAAACAAAACAAAAACAGCCATGAGCATTATCATAAGATTGCACTGGTCCATGAGCAAGAGATCCAACATTTATTTATTTATTATTATTATTAATTTATTTATTTGATTTATATACTGCCCATCTGGCAGTCAGGGCCACTCTGGGTGATTTACAACAAATAGACAAGCAACACAATAACAAAATAATACAGTAATTACCATTCAGTGTAATTAAATTAAGAATTGCATCTCTGAGTCTGCATAGTACCAAGGTTACAAAAGGATGGATACCAATTTAATTAAGCCAGTAGCATAACTTAGTAAGTGCCACCTTTTTATCATAAACATTTACTTAGAGCACTTGTGTGATTTGGGGATTTATAAATAAATGTCAGACTTTTCAGATGTTTTCTAGTGGCATCTCCATATCTCAATAACTGCTAGAAAATGTCAGCACTGACTATATTTCTGCCATTTATCAAGACAGAGACATTGATTGACATGTACCCATACATGCTTTGTTATTGTTGTTTAGTCATTAACTTTGTGACCCCATGGACCAAAACACGCCAGGCCCCCCTGTCTTCCATTGCCTCCCGGAGTTTGGTTAAATTAGTGTTGGTAGCTTCAAGAAGCTGTGGGCTATGTCATGCAGGGACACCCAAGACAGACAGGTGTAGAGTTCTGACTATACGCGATCCACCTGGAACTGGCAAGCCACTCCAGTATCTTTGCCAAGAAAACTCCATGAACAGAAACCCATACATGCTTACCTATAGCTATTTCAACTTTCCTTTGAATTAATCCATTAGGCTTTCAAGTTCTTCAGAAGCTTTCAACACCATCTCTGTATTTGTTGGTGGTCCTGTTTCATTTTGGATTATTTATTTATTCTTGCTGTGAACAACTTGCATTTAGACATTCACAGTGCAATCTACCAATCTAGTACAGAGGTTTTTACAAGCTAAAGAGGAGACTTCACTTTTTGCACTATTCCTTGCTGATTTTTTAAAATGAAGCGATGTAAGACATGCTTTCCTCTGAAAGCACAGACTAAATGTATTTTATCTGCACTATATATTTTCTTGCACAATTTCAATTTCATTGTGCTGTTTGCTCTGAAGGTCACAGAAGACTACAGCAACAACCAAATACTTCATTACCAACAACCAGTAGTAGATGTGCTGCAAAAAATGTCCTGCCTCAAATTAATATCTCTTAGTTTTATTACAATTCTCATTCTCTTCCCTACAGGACAATTATTGACAATTTTATTATGTATATAACATTTTTCACAACATCACTTTCCAGAATATTAGAACCAAGACAATACTGAGAGCATACATCAAAATTTTAATGAAAGAAATGATCAAGGTATGAAGGGAATTGTTAAGAGATGAACATGACAAACTGTGGATTTCCTCTCTTATTACCTTCTTAAGACAACCTGTAACTATGGTTCTAACCTCCCTTAGAACGTATTAGAGAGGCAAATGGCAGAACAGAAGAGTACATTTCTATTTTGATGAACAGAAACAAATCAATGGTTGTACAATGTCACAATAAAAAAATAAAGAGGATTGGTAAATTTAATTTTGCTCAATGAGATTTGAAATATTTATGGTTCAGCAATGAGTGGCTCATGACTGGGACAGGGGATGGCCTCCTCAAACTTTGGGGGTGGGGCACCCATCTGTCAGCTCACAAGCCACTCCTAAATCCAGTCATAGAAAATATTGTGAAATAATCTTGTTTACCTGGTATTCAAGTTCCTAAGTAGCTATATTACTATAGTATATAAAGCTGCTTTGTCACTCTAAGTGAATTTAAGACAGATATAATTTGTAATAAAGTTGGACAGTCATATATAAAAAAAATGTTGAATGCTAGGAGGCAATAGCCTTCAGATGACGAATTAATAAAAACCTCAACTTCTAATGGAAAAATACTGGCTCCATTATTGCTGAATTAATAGAAAGGCAGGGGAAGCATAAAATAAAAGATTTGATGAAGTCAAAAGCAATATATTTTGGAATGCCAAAGGTAGCTCAAATAAACCTGCTGAAATTGACCTTTTGAGAATTAAGAAAAATAAGGTGCATAAGGCCATGGTTTCCAACCCCCTGCTCAGTGCAGGAATCCAAGTCAAAGTAGATCTGACAGATGGTTGTCTAATTTTCTCTTGAATGCCTTCAGTGTTGGAGAGCTCACCACCTCCTGAAGTAATTGGTTCCACTGTCATACTGCTCCAGCTAGTATTTTTTTCCTGATATTCAACCGGAATTTGGCTTCCTATAATTTGAGCCCATCTTTTCAAGTATTTGAAGAGTGCTGTCATATCTCCCCTCAGACTTCCTTTCCCAAGTCTAAACATGCCCAGTTCTTTCAGTCCCCCCCCCCACAGGGCTTGATTTCTAATCCCCTTGTTGTCCTCCCTAACTTGCTGCCCTCCTCTAATTAATAAACTACTTCCCAAATTTCTCCCTATTTACATCCATAAATATGCACAAAAATGCCTCAGACATCAGGTGTGGTTTGCAAAACTGTAACCCAGACCACTGAATGAGCTTCCAAACACAACACAAGCAAACACTTGGATTAGAGTGACTTTAATTTCATTTTTGATTCTCTCAGCTCTCAATTACATAAATTCCCTCCTGTCTCCATGGCACAACAGTGCGTGGAGATATAGTGATGGCCATAAACATGTTCTGTCAGTTCAAATAGTATGCCAAATCATGGTGAGCTCCATCATTTTGGCAGATCCATTTCAGATGAAGGATTCTCACTTGCTGGCACAACCCAAACATCACGACAACCCACTATTAAGCCTGATTTCTAATTACTCTAAAGAGAACAGGATCAGATGTTGTGGGGCCTACATAGCTATTACTCAAAGCAGCAACCTGTATCTTTCATTTGACACAGTTTCTCTACGTACACTAGCAGTATATGGGAAAAGAGGAGCAGGGGAGGGAAATATGCAGTCTGGGGTTGATGTTTTCAGTGGTAGCCATATATCTCCTGCTTTCTGTACTTCATTTTTAAAGAAAATTCTCCACTCATTCTTCATTTTCCTGAGTGAGGCAATACTGTTTAGCCCATAACGTAGAGAGATGAGTGTACATACATATGGAACTCAATGACAGAATGAAAATAAAACAAATTCCTTTCCTCCACATATTTTGGAAGCATCTCAGGTCTTGTGTAGGCATGTGGACAGGTAGATATATACACAGATAAACACACACATAGGCACATATTAAAGAAGGAATGAATAATATTATCTTTACAAATGCATGACATCACTTCTGGCTGCAGTGGCTAGAGTTATATACAAAGATGAGGAACAGAATGGCCCTGATAGCTTGCCTGTTACTGTAACTTTAGTCTCCATATTACCCTTCATAAAACTAACCATAAAATGGAGATTTTAATCTAAGGAGTGCTCATTCATTGCCATTTTGGATCCATCAAGCCAGTTAAATTGAGAAGAATCCTGCAGATAGAGGAAATAGCAGCAAAACTTGTTTAGCCTGTTTATTTATCTGTTTGTATTTTATTGATTTGTCAGTTTTCATTTTTTTTTATTTTGTGTCTGTGTGTGTCTGTGGAGGGGAGATAGTATTTGTGCTAAGGTGTAAAATGGCACAGAGTAGTGGTCTCTACTAAGTGGGGCAGTATATAAACGCTAGAAATAAAGCAAAATAAAATAAACAAAGCCCTTCAAATTCTACTCTGAGTTCCATCTCTGCACCTGACTCATTCTTAAACTGGTATGTATAAATTAATGCCATGGGCCACACCAGTATAGCGAAGGAAGCAAAGCCACAGACCGTGTACAATGACAGTGACTGAGTAAAACAAAGGAGATGTGGATGATGGGGAAACTATCAGAGTAAACGGTGTCATGGGTGTGTGTAGGAAAACTGACTAGAAAAAGAGCTAGAAGCATGAAATAATGCAACAATTCTTTTTCAAAGGGAAAGTTACAGGTGTGTATACTTCAGACACCTTATTTGACATGTTTGTAGTGGCATGCAATCCATTATTGGACAACAGCATGTCAGAACTTCTTTGATTTAGATTCCTGCACTGACTTCTCTTCTGGCTTATCAGCTGCTTTTTCTTAAGAGAGAAAGAACGAGAGAAAGAGAGAGTGACTGCAAATGCTCACCAATCTTAAAAGGTTGGTTTCAGAGTTGTATAACTATTGTGCAGAAATTAGATTTCAGCTGCATTTGCTATTATTTGTGGATTTCTGAAGAACCTTTGAGCATATCATCTGCTTGTTTCTACCCAGAATTCCCCTGCCTCCAGCTTATGAAAGGTGTGGGCATGTTTATTTGTGGCTACAGATAATTCTTTAAGTCTACCAGAGTTAACAAATCAGGATTTTGAAGAACTAGAATTGTGGATTTGAACAAACAATTAAAACTTAAAAGCATACAGCAGACTGCAGCCAGGGATTCTTCCAATAAAGCAGAAGGTATATACATTGTTTAAGTCATTTCTGGGCTAAAGGCACTGTGAAACATGCAATGAAAATTCCTTATAATTATAATTAAATCAGAAAGAGTATAAAACAAGAACCCACATGAGGATTTACCTTCCACTGCTCTCTTGAAGAAGACTTTGCAGCTGCCACATGTAACTACTCCATAGTGGCATCCAGAAGCCTCATCCCCACACACCAAACACACTTTGGAAGGTCTTGAGGATCCAGATGATACACTTCTCAAAGAGGAGCTATGAGGAAAAACGGTAATACCAATTATTTCTAGGCCAACAAGAAACTAAAACCCATTATTTTGTGTTTTTTCTTATTACCAGTGTAAAACAACTAAAAGAACAACTACTTTTACTGCTCACTGTCTGTACAACCTGTTTGTTTTTCATAGTATGTGATGGATTTTACTTGCCAGTTCAAAACACCCACAAGCCCTCAATGTGTGAAAGTGCCACAAACAATTTCATTTACCAACTCCTCCTTGAAATCGGCATCTATTATTTCCTCAAAATCACCAAGACAACATATCAAATGTGCCTTTTACTCTATTACAGTAGGCTATCCGTTAAGAAAAACGAGACATGCTCAAGAACATTTTTTATATATACGTACTGCATACAGAGGCATTTATTATTTCGATGTATGGCAAACCACTATGACAAAGGCTGAAATTCTGTACTAAGCTACGCGGGAGTATGCACCAATGAACTCAGTGGGACTAGTTCAGAGTGATTGTTAAGTCTGATCAAATGCCAATAGTCTTGTTTCATATCCAGCACCAGTGAAATCAGGACTTCTCCTTTGTCCTGCGGTAGCCCCCTGTGGAACCACAAACCAGACTTGGAGGATGTAAGAAGTCATAAAGAGAGTATCCCTGCCAGACTCACAATTATCCTCAGTTCTAGTATATATACCACCACATCCTTGTTTCTGTTTCTTCAAAATCAAATCAAGTCTCTCCCATAGTCTTAGGCTCAATTTAAAAGGTTACAGGTAGATGAATTACACAACAATTGTAATATTTTCTTCTCAATTTCTGCAGTTCTTTTCTTTTTTGGAAGACAATGAAGACAAAATGAGAATTAGACTGCTAAAATTTCCATTTGGGGCAAAGTAACAGGAATACATTTATTCCCTTTATCAAGCTCCATAGTACATGGATCTGAGCACCTCTCTCTCATCTGGATTAAGTTCCAGTTTATTTCTCCTCATGTTACTGTCACCAGTCATTGATCTAGAACAGAAACAACTTCCTCGGATTTAGACAGATATAAGTCAAAACCGTTCCAAGGCTGGAATTAGAGATGGGCACAAACCAAACTGCAAACTAGAAAAACTGACAAACCAGGCTGGTTGGCAGTTCAGTACATGACCCAGTTCGGGGATCCCATTTTGCCAAAGCAAAATTAAACACCAAACGTTTTCCCCCTCGGCACTTCATTTTGCTCCAGCAAAATGAGATGCCTGCCCTCTCCTTTCCCACTGCTCCGGGTGCCTCCCTACCTGCTCCTACTACTGCTGCCAGCTCATCTTCTGCCGCCTCATTTTCTGCCACCACCACCTCCTCCTCTGCCACTGCTGCCTCATAGGCAGTGGGCCCGGCTTCCCTTCCAGGACCCAGCCGCTACCTCTGATCATGCACCTGTCTATCAGCTGGGTGACAGGTGGTGGAGGAGGAGGGAACAGGTAGGGACGCAACAGGGGCAGTGGGAACAAGCAGGTGGGCAGCAGAGGAGGCAGAAGGCAGGAGCAGTTAAATCCCACCCCCAGGCACAAACTAGGAAAACAAATCACTAACCAGTTCGTTTTTCCAGGGTTTCATGTTGGGTCGTGGTTAGCCACGAAACACAAACTATCACAAACCATTGGCTTTCCGTTTCATGCCCATTTCTACTTGGATTGCATGTGCAGTTTAAAACACATGTTTTAAAAGGTGCATCCAGGATAAAACATTGGAGTGACCACGAGCTGGAGCACTTATATTTCTAACCCCTTCCCCATTACTCCCACTAGTCCAAGGCTCAGAATCCCATTAATAAACTGTTCCCGTTTCCTGTTTTTCTTGAAGTCTGGAGATGTTTGTTCTTTAAAAGGGCATCTATGAATGCCAAGTTTGTTGCTATTTTTTTTCCAAACAAAGGAAACTGACAGAAATTTAGAGGGAACTGACAAGTCTCCCCAGCCCCTTTGCAGCCCTTGACTATCAAAACTGAAAATGAAATTGAAAAGGGACTTTTCAAGAACTCCTAAGCAAATGAAACGAAGAGAAGAGGAGGAAAAGAAAGCGCTGGGAGGGTAAGCTATGCAGAACAATAGGGGAAGGGGTTCACATTCCACTGCAATCACTAAACCATATCATTAACCACTGTCACATTGCAACACTGGCTACATCTAGAGAACAACAATGGGGGTCACTATTACACCAACTAGTTGCTGTGGAAACAGGAATATTCAAAATAGGGAAAGCTGCAAACTGTGAATGGCAGTAATGTACATTATAGTGAAGAGGTGACTTTTAAAGTGATAATCAACATGGTTTAAAGTGCACATGTAACTTTGGTGTGATGTTTCTCAAAATACAGTGTCCATGCTGTGCAGTGCATGTCTATTTAATTAAGGAAGGACAGGTCTTCGGGAGGTCTTTCTTATTCGCAAGCCCTCAAACCAGCATGAGTTCAGTGATGACCTTTATATCTCCTCTTTCCCTTCTGCACACAACATAAATTCTAGAGTCTTAAAAGCTCCCTAATTTTAACTCTGTCAGCCTTTTATGATACAAGGTAAAAATATCCCCAAAAGAGTTTTAGATCAGGTTCCAAATTTATTCAGCTATACAAAGACTATTTCATAATTGTGCACAGCTATATAAAATGGCATATTATGGTGTCAGGATAATTTGACATGAGAAAGTGGAAGTCTACAGTCTAAAAATTCACAGTCTTCAAAATTACATAACCTTTGCATTTATTATGAAAGTGGAAGTTTAAAAATTACACATCTTTTGATCATACAGTCTGAGAGTCGTGGAACTGCTTTAAGAACACCCAGAGTTTGGGCAGTAGGATCTGATAGAAGCCTCTCATAACACGTTGCAAAATGACTCTGAAAGAGCATTCAACTTCAAAGGGGATTTGTCATGTGACCAGCATTTTAAAAAAAGTAAACCCATAGTTCCTTTGGTCTCATGGAATCCCTTGCATGGGTGTCTTAGAACCCAACTCCCAATGACCTTCAAAAAAACCCAAAAACTTTTGGAGTTACACTTCTCAGAATCCCCAGTGGCTAGAGTCACTTTCCCAAACATTCTTATAGGTCAGATGCAAGCAACAGCCCTTTTGCTATTTTATTGCTGCTCCAAGCTGAGCCAGGGAGAGGTCAAGCAGTATATTCTAGGTCATATCAGTGGCTCAGACCAGATTAGGGACTAGGACTGTGTTGGCTCTGAGCCTCTTACACACATAGAGTAAGAGGATGCCTTTTTAAATGAATCTGCATTCAGTGAATTAATCTCACACTGGAAATAATGCTGCTCCTCCTGTTTTGGCTCTGCTAATCTGTGAGGTTTAGTAGCCTGCTTCATTGTGATATTTATACATTTGTTACATAACAGCATAAGGCTGTCTGACAATTGTGGGATGATGACAATGCCTTGTTTATTATACAGTTCAGGGAAGACCTTGCGAATGTACATGAATGAATAAGCAATGTTCTTTTGTATTCTAGACGTGGAAGTAAGTGATATCAACCCCTGTCTAATAGCAATAAGGGTGCCTGCTGCCATAATTTATATTTGTAAGCAAATACTGGGGGTATTAAATGTTATTTTATACCTGATTTGAGCAATAAATCTGTATTTTAGATTGCACTGGATTTACCAGGTCAAATTAAACAGCAAAGACAACTAAAGGCAAATCTACAAAGACAATTTTATATAACAACAGAAGGATTTACATTTAGAGCAAGGAAATTTTTTCCATTTACTGTATTTCTCATTCATTTCAAATGTAATTACTGTAATATTGGAGGCATAGAACTATCCCAATAACCATACAGTATCCAGCTTCTGTGTTATTTTAGAATGGATTCTGTTGTGTTTGCTTACGGAAATGCAGAGATGAGCACTAACTGCTAGTTTGGTAGCTCATTTTTCACCCAAACAGGTGTTCAACAATTCCAAGTCCCACCTCCTCTGGTGGACGCGCATTTCAGGTCAATGCCCTGGCTTCCCAGTCCCCCCTTTAGAGGAGGCGGGGTTGGGAAGCACCAAACACCTGTTTGGGCAAAAAACAAACTGTCACAAACTGCCGAACCATCAGTTTGTGCTCATCTCTATTTGAATGTGCCGCATTTTTTTTTCAAATATACATCGTATGCTTGACATCTTCTCCATATATATATTTTGAATTGTTGGTGTTTATGTTCTGCCCATGTGATGCAAAACAATGGAGGGGAGAAACAAACATGTTCCCAGACCTAAGAGCTGCCCCTCTCACAACAAAAGGATGGGCACATGACTTATTTATTTTATAGATTTGCATTGCCAACCCATCACACACATTCTCTGGCGAATTTTAAAAAATTAAAATACAATATATGTCCCTTCTATCTCCTATTGATCCAGGATATGTATGGAAGTGTGCATCCACCCACACAGAAACTATTTAACACAATCTCACTAAAATGAACAGAAACACTTGAAGTATACAGGAAATGAAGGGGGCACTGCAAGAATAAGCAATTTTCATTCTTTTCAGTAGGATTTTCATGTTAATGTATTAATGACCAACCGACTGACTGATTGGCTGATTGCTTAATTTATTCAAGTATTGATATACCATCCTTCACAAAAAGAGATCAGAGTTGTGAACAATAATAATACAAACAGTAGAATCCATAATTTTTTTAAAAAAGTGAAAGCTAGGCTTTTAAAATACAGACCCATAAAAGAGACTAAGCACCTTAAAATGGCCTTAGAAAGAAACATCATTTGAGCTGAATATGAAACTGTTGCAGGATCAATGGCAAGTAGTTTCCGTTTTTGGAGGGTGTATCTCAGTGCTAACTCCTAATCTAAACACATTAATAGGAACCATGAATGATCAGTGCATACTTCCTCCAGTCCCAGGCCATGCCTAATTCCTAACTGCTACATCTAAGAGCTCTCTTCAGATGTTGCTACCCACATATAGGGCTAAATATGTGGATTTGTGAGCTTAACGTCAGCTGTTGGCCCCAAAGA